GGTTTTGGGAAAGGGGTCAGACTACAAAAAAAAATAGCAGATCTCAAAAGTTTTTTATTTATCTAATCAACGTATGTATCATTCCTTGGTCTTAGTACCCGTAATCATAATAATCTTGCCTGAACGCGGTCATTTACGGGCAGTGGTGGGTCTTTTAAAAACATTATTTTGCACAATTTTAACGAGTTTTTATTTAAAACTACGTTTGCTCGAAGCTTCTTGATTAACATCTTACCCAATAACCTGTGTGTAAATCTCATTACTGAGATTGTTGTCATTACTGGCGGAATGCCTAAAAAGTATACCTGTATCTTCTTCATCTTCTAAAGCGAATTAAGTTTATTGCACAAAACGTCAAGAAATAAAGAAGTTATTCAGACAATTTTTACTTCGAATATACACAACACTAGATAAAATTAGAGAAAAAAGTTAATCTGAATTAATCAGTACCAAATTACAAAGTCGCACTGAGTACTGTATGCTTTTCTTCTGAATAAAAATAACTATGTTGTCACAACATACAAACAGGTGCGTCTGCTTTCTTCCAGAACTGCATACCGCTACTTATTTCCCAAATTAACATATAGTTCACATTTGCAGGTGTATTAAAATTTATCGTACGGCTTCTGCAAAAGCAGGTGGTTTATGTAAATAAATTCAAGGGTGTTAAGTGAAATCTCCCATCATCTACTACCTGAAGATTAGGGGGTTAGGAAGAGCAGGTGGACGACGTCATCGCACACCTTTGATAACCTACACCCACAATTCTACTACGTTTCCCACACGCTTTTGCATAAACATATAAAAGCTACCGAAGGAGTGTCTCTGTCACCTGAACACGGTGACAACCTAATTGTAGAACAATGGTTTTATGGCTGACACTCGTCAGTCTCGCGCGATTTACATGGCTTGGGCTTGGCCCAATTTGAGACGGCAAAAATTGGAAAAAATTTTATCTTGAAATTGAAGAATTATGGCGCTGCTACCTAATGGCGGCTACACGAACTGGCTTGCTATTGCAGCAAATAAATGAGTTTTCCTAATTCTTTGGCGATGAATTTTATCCTAAAACCGTCGATTATGTGAAGTCTGAGTTACATACAGTTTCGTAAAATAAATATTATGATAAGGTCAGTTTGATGAGGGTTTAATTTTGTTTCCACAACATGCATTGTATGAAAATGTAACTTCAGGGTGTCTCGGGTCTGTCGCTAGGAGGAAATTTATTAATAATTATTAGCATAGATTTGTCTGGTATACTTACGAACATTGTGTAAACTTATACCATAATATACCGGGTGATTTTTAAATTTCTGATCTAGTTTTCGCTTCTCATTACGTCATCAAAGCATGTAGATTGTATCTCAAAACATCCAACTTGTGTTGTGACATAACCTAAATTGTGCTTTGTTTTTATTTTCGTTAGTCAAGCTACTTTTTGGCCGAATTGTTTTGTGAACAAGTTAATGGGTCATCAGAAACTAAAAAAAATCGTCCGGTATATACCGTGTTTAATTCAGTAGTAGGAAATAATCTCCAAAATGATAGAACTCTTCCACCTCAATTAACAAGTGTTTGTATAAAATTGTAGTTATTAACAACTAGCTGTCATTATCTTTGAAACAGAGCTGTGACCTCAGGACATATTTTTACATACGGATCAATACAATATACATATTTTAAAATTGATCAGCATATTCTCTAAGCAAAAATAATATAAAAGCTATAGTATCTTAAACATCCTATTCTTGAACAATCTCCGTTTCTTACAAATGATTGTTTATACACGCGCAACCACGTGTATGTTGTTATTGTAATCACTTAATTTACATGAGGGGGCTGCGAACTTCTTTCGCTTCATAAACTTCACTTACTTAATGTACTTAATTTACCTTGTTGCATTAAATTTGTTTTACAAACATGTTAACTACTTCGTATACGCGATCTGTGAATCGTTTCGCTCGGTAGCACACCTAGATTCTCAAGTGAAATCGTCACGTTGTTCTACAAAAGCGATAGTTATGTAGTTATGTGATTTAGGTGGTCGATATATCCTTAATTTTATTTTTTCTACGATTTATACTTTGTTAGGTTCGATGAACAAGCGATTTCACCAAAAAAATATATACTTTAATACACAGTACGTATTTCACCATCAACAAGTCGTCATCTGACTCCTTCATGGGCGCCCATAGAAACCTTTCTCAGGGGGGGCCACCCTGAAATTTTTGTAATATACTCTGTTCTTGTATATATAAATAATATAATGATAGAAATCTTTACTATTATAAATATATATTTTAATCATCAACTACGTTAATCAAATCTATCGCAAATAACCCTACAACATCATTATTCTTATTATTAGCAAAACAGTGTAAAATATTAAAATTAAAAAGTTATAAAAATATAAAATTCATCAAAAACAAATTGCTAATCCCTTTTTTCTTGGCCAAAATCGTCAGTTACTCTACCAACAGATATTTCTTCGGCATTAACTCTCTCTCTGAAATACTACTGTCAAGGTTTTTTATTTTTACAAAATCCTGCCAATTTTGGATTTCGTCCGATAAAAATTGTCAGTGGTGTAAAATTCGCCCAACCCTTTAAGGCAACTTGGTTTTAAGTTATGTATATTCTTTGGATGTAAAGAAAATAATGAGCATGATGACACTTTTGTTTCGGAAAATCGTGTCGTTAAGGAAAGAATGAAATGATCCAGGTATGGAATAAAAGTGTCAAAATAATTTTCTATGCTATCTGTGTTGTAGTTCGCACGCCCACTCGTGAAACAGTTCTGGAGCAACCGAAATTTCCACTCGAAGTCGATGGCTACTCTGAAAAACCGCCATCAGTAGTAATAAATAACACCACTTATTTTATACTTCTTATTAGCTGAAGTATCATCATCAGTATTTGTAATTTTTTTCTTGAAGAAATTTCAGATATCCATATTTCTCTGTTTTTAAATAAATATTAAATTTAAAATTTAATCAAGAGTACTTACGCTTGAATTTTGAAATAAATAAATAATAAAAATTATAGTCAACAAAACGCCGGTTTAACAACTGTTCGTCTTTACATGTCACTTCACCACAGATAAAAAGTGAAAACGGAATGAATTTTTGGACGTAAACGTTAGCAATAAAATATTTGCTCTTGTAATAACTGTAAAAAGCAAATAACGAAACAACCCATAATTCAGTACCGGTTAAAAAGGATAGATTTATGATGTTTCCAGGCAAATCTGGGCCGAACAGAGGGTTTCAAAACCAAATGGTCTAAGTTTGTCACATTTCTGTGTTTGTGTGGCAATAAAACTGAAAGTGTAGGGCATGTACCTACTCTTATAAATGTGCTAAAGTTTAATTTTGACAAATAAAAAGGAAATTGACGCAGAATCTCAGGGGGGGCCATGGCCCCCCCTGGCCCCCCCCTATGGGCGCCCATGGACTCCTTCCCTCTGTGGTAGACGCAGATGCGGCAGCTTTACAATTCGATTATTGACAGATTACTGTCGTCCTGATGTCATTACCAGTGTCAAAAAATTCATATTTGTAAAATTAATAGAACAATGGAACCATCATCCACCTAATTAACAACAGTTGCTCTTTCAAAGTAACATAAAAAGTTTCTTACTAAATTCAAGTGGACCCAGTTTTCGAATCCAGAACCAGTTCCCCAAGTGAAAAGAACTAGCATTCGATGTAAAATGAAAATCCGTCCTCGTAGTTAAACGTACGTACATTACTACAATGTCTAACATTTGAAACCTACAGAATTCAACATAAACTACAAGTCACGTTAGGGAACCTTTTAAATTCAGACTACGAGTCAGTAATAGCTAAATGTTTTGTACGAACTGTACCCTCACTGTTGGAGGTAATGACCTCGATTCGGAAGGATTGTATTTTTCTTATCAAATAATAGAAAAAACTAATTAAAAGAGGAAATGTCTAGCAAAAACCGACAAAATCAATATAATCGGTGGAAAATACTGAAACTTAAAGCATAACTTTATTGTAGCTATTTATAAAAATGTTTTGAGAATTAAAGTCAATTTTACCATTCATGACAACGAATTTTACACCTGTTTTCGAAATCCAAATCCAACTTTAAGAATATTAAAGCACACACAAAACTGCATGTTTTGGGCACCTATTTAACACTTACAACAAAGGGTCATAATTTTTATCTGGAGGACTGGGGTCTACAGCATTTATAATGACATCATTATCAGTATTTGGATTACTAGTATGGTCGGCATATACATAAAAAATAAAAAGTTCATTGTCCTTTCATGACGTCACTCACTGAATAAATCGACTTTACTGAAAATTCTGTGAAATTTAAATTAATGTCAGTGTTCTGTCAAAATTTCGAAGAGGGCTCACATTCATTTTTTTGATGAATGAAGAAACAAATTTTGGTTTTACCATCTTCACAAACTACAGTTGAAATTTCAAAGCAATCGGTTTAATTCGGAGATTATTTGTTTCATAAAAATACCAACAAATGGTAGATAATGGGAATCATGCATTTTCAGATTTTACATTTTGTTAAATGCAAACCCATAAAGTTCGTCAAATGCCTTTTACAATACGTACCGTTTTATTGACGTGTTACATTTTCCAGCAACGTTCTTAAAAAACAAATCAATAATCTGTCTCGTGCGATTTACTTACATGGTTTGGGCTTGGCCCACTTTGGGACGGCAAAAATAGGAAAATTTTTCTCCTCGGAACGCAAGAATTATGGCGGTGCTGCCTAATGACGGCTACACAAGCCAACTCGTTATGTATCCGTTATTCATAATCAGATGAGAAAAGGACAGAGAGCGAGAGAGGCCAGGTTTGAAAAGAAGACCCATTACTTTTCATTAGAGGCTTGACAATCTCGACCACTTTCAAGCTGGGATTTTTTATGAATTAAATCCGGGTCCACAACTACCTAACCCGATCGACACATTCCATTCACATTCACTCCATCAAAAACGCCAGTATAATAAAATACTTTATTCAAAATTTCCAAATATACATCACGTTTTCAAAAACTACACTAAACTAAAAAGGGAAACCTTATACAAAATTTATTTTAAATTTACATTAATATCGTAACCTCAATCTGTTTGTGTCTGAGATCGATTTGTTCTAAATAATACGCTGAACAAGGGTTCTTGATCTCATCAAGTTACCCAAAATAACTTAAAATTCAGGGCCGGATTAACGCTTTGGGGCCGGTGTGTCGATTTATATTAAACTTTATATTAATGGACATTAATGACAGTTTCACAATAAAAACTGTAAATTTTGTAAATAATGAGCGATAAATATGTATAAGTTTTTAATGAATTCACGTATTTACATAACGTATTGAGTGATCCGAGCAAAACTTCGAATTGTTTTCCACACGCTGATCGCGTTACGAGACTTTCAGTTACAGTTTGGAGGAGAACTGGTCGCATCAGTCAACCACTTCCCGATCTAAATCTGACAGCTAAGATATAATAATTTCGACGAAGCGTAACCTCAGGTTGTAAGTTCTCGAATTGTTATCCCGCAATTGCTTAAATTAACAAACGATTTGATTATTTTGAGCGTCTAGCAAAAACAACATTACATGCATTCGGATAGTAAAATATATCCTGTATATATTTTCTAATAAACTATTTTAATAATTTCACCATTTTTAAATAGGGACATGTATAACAAATAAATAAATAAATGAAAAAACTTATATCATTTATTCGTTCACAAAAAAATTCCAAGCCATTGAGAATCAATCAAAATAAAAATTAAAGAACTTTAGAAAGCAAAGTTAATCATCACAATTAATTAGAACCATAAAACCTATCTTAAAAATATACATGTCGTCGTTTCTTAATTGCGCTATAATCAGACTACATCAACTGAATGAATTTAAAAAAACTTGTCCCATGTGTAAGGAAAATGTCTTATACTGGCCATAAAAATCATGGTGTCTTTAGAAATCTTAAATTTAAATATACACAAACTTCAACATTATAATATATGTCAGAAAACTAAATAAGCGTTCTGATGATCATTTATACAAAAGTTTGATGTCAATAATACTATTTTTGCATTGTTTTTAAACGTACAAAGAACAACATTAAACATTTTAAAAATAAACAATTTTATGTTTCGTTACGAAAATATGAAATAAAAAAAAATTGATAAAAAAAACAAAAAAGTATCTAAATTTTAATGTGTTGGTTAAACAGTGTTTACTCTTAGTGTACTTATGGGATTAAGAAAATTGTATAAAACGCATGTGTATAACTTACATTTCCGCCTTGTCAGCTGTCATCGATTAAATTTTAGGTTTATTGTAGACATACTTCACAATGTTTATAAAAAATCAAGGCTAACTTTATGACTTTTTGAATGGAATTCGATATATTACGTATTAAGTATGTACGTATGTATAATGTACACTGTCCATCATAAACAAGTAATTTTACCAGATTATAACAAACTCTTTAACTAGGTATTCGAAGTTTCAACAGAGCATTTTATATCAGTCATGTGTTATTATTTCTAAATTAAGACTCACTTCAATGCCGTCAAGATTCTATGAACTATTTGCAAAGAAGTTGTTTAACTTTCATTAATGCAAAAAATAAACACTATTTTAATTGTTTAAATATTATAGTTCTACGTGTTTTAACGCGTTTTATATGTAGCAGAATCAATTTCTTCTTGCGAACTGTATACACATTTGTAAAGCAAAATATATTAGGTGTTCGTATTTCTCCACTTTATTTTAATAAATAAAAAAAATCAACGTAAATTTTAGAGGACAAAGCTTGCCTATTAGATGAATGTCTTAAAACGTTTACTTGGTAAACTATGAAATCTAAAATCTGAATTAATAATGGAATAGAAATTCTCAATTTTTTTCTTGCCTCATAACCAGCAGTAATTATTCTGAATCCACATTAGAAGTGCGTTCAGTTCTTATCATCAACTGTCGTCCAAAAAACGCTCCGAACCCTCCAGTCAATCCGGCCCTAAACAACTTAATTAAGTTTGTACCGTAACTCTTTTTGGGTGCGTCTAACGTTTATATACAGTGAACCACGTACGAAAAACACGCCCCAAAACAATTTACAATCAACTAAACGTAAAACAATTGCGAGCAAATAGTCCCTTCCTTTTATTTACAAAACAAATCACAATATTTACAAAAGGAACTAAACTTGACAAAGTCATCATTACCTTCTCATTATATCTTCTATAGTAAAACCAGTCTTCTTGGGAGGATTCTGAGGCGGCCTCGGAGGCGGCAATTCGTCTTTCTTCATAGACAAATCACTTGCCATATTACTCGAACCCGGAGTGTCCATTTTCAACCCAACATCAGGTGGTTTCATCGTTGACGGCGGTATCGGTATACTTTGAGGCATTATATTGTGGGGTATCGGAGGCTGATGCATCAACCTCAACTTGATCTGCTGACTATAACTCGGTCTCTCCGCATCCAAGTGCCTTTTCCGGAAGTTGTCCAAAAAATTGTGTTCCAAAGCTCCACTAGTGATCGTGGAAGACTTCACCGCGTGCAAATCCCTTCTAATTTGCAGCTGCGGATGGTGCTGGGGAGGAGGCTCAGGCACGGGTTCCGCCTTCTCTACCTCCACCTCAGGCTGATCTTCTTGGCCGGGGTCAATTTCTGGATCTTCTTCTAGCTCGTCGTCATCATCTATCTCGTGCCTAAATTCGCTACGGTCATGGTGAGGCCTCATGGTGTAAGGACTCGAAGAGGAGCAAGGCTCGTGGCACTGCGTCCTTTCGGAGATTCCGTCTTCGCGTTGGGTATCCAACGATGGGCTTCTGGGTCTCGGGGACACGCTTTCCATATCGCTGGGCATGTACCCATCGCCCAGTCCGTCGGCCGGGACGTCGCCTACGGCGTGAGTCAGAGCGTGTCTCCGCAGGTCGCAGTTGCGGCGGAAGACCTTTCCGCAGGAGTTACATTCATAGGGTTTATGGTCGGTGTGCGTCAACAGGTGCGTCTTCAGGTTGGAGCGCTGGTTGAAGGAGCGACTGCAGACGGGGCACTTGTGTGGAGACTCCTCCATGTGAAGGATCTTGTGGACGGCGAGAGTCCGACTTTGACAGAATCCCTTGCCGCATTCTCCACATTTGAACGGCTTCTCTTTGCTGTGGATGTATCTGCAATTAAGAAAAAAAGATGCATTGCGAACGCCATTTGCATAGTTATAGTGGTTGGGATGGAATTCGCCTCGTTACACGGGATGAGATCCATTTAAACGATAAAAATCTCGCGTGCCGTGCATACGAGAACTGAAGTTGAGCGGTGAGTGGACAATACAAAGGAAGGCAGGCAGTTAAAAAGACAACTACATAAATTTTAAATGCAATAATAAATTTTATAGGCGAATTTATTAATTTTAAATTTTCGTAATTACATTGGTAACGCACTTAATTACAGCTATTCTCAAGAGACAACAATGTAGTGAGTGCTGTTTCAAAGTCGCTATTAAATTTTGCCGCCTTGTCGAAACAGGAATTGTGATTAAATTATCGTGGTCATTTCACACTTACGCTCATTCAGGAGAACACCATTAGTCAAAAATGGTTAAACTATTATTGTATATGTGAAACAAATAAACAAACGTCGGGACATTAATTGACGACTGTCAAAGTTCGAAGCTTTGAACAGTTTCTTCATACACTAAAGATCATCAAACCAACAGTGCTCTCTCAAATGATCACCAGTGTAAGGTGGAAGACTTTTCAGTCTCAATTGAATATGATAAACAATATATAGATACTGTACTCTTTAGACAATATATTTACGAGTAACTCGTTTACGTAAAGGACTATTATAATGGTCCTTATTAATATAAATAATAATTCATTATGAATATAAGGCAGTTGTGGTTATTAATTTTGAGGTATTTGTTCCTATATTTTACTCAAGAATTCATTTAACTTACATAAAAGTTTGAAGTGGTTTTGGAGTCAATTAAATTCATTGCTTGCTACTAGTACATACACCTAAATCAATATGAAACACAAAAGCGTTTTAGAGAGTTCGCAACGTCCTAGTCCATGTTACTTGGTAACAACTAGTAACAAGCTGTGTAAATGTAGGTACGTTCACCTGTATGCATGCGCTGATCATAACTTTAAAATTGCAAAACGTGAAAAAAAATCAATTTATGTTAAAATAATGGTTTATCGTAAGAGCGAAATAATTAAGTACCAATTAAATTGACATATGACAAATGAAATCATTTTACCTATTTATGCAAATTCACCAAAAGGTTTACAAATCATGCATATTAAGTAGGTGATACGTTATGATTTTACATAAATAGCAAGGACAATAACTTAATTTTCCAGATTATCATTATTATCACCAGTGAACATTATATAAAAATAAACACAATAACAAACTGGTTTTTTGAATTTCTGTTGTGTATTTTTTTTTTTTATTAATAAAAAACAGAAAATGTGCGCAATCTACATCTAATTTCCCGTAAGACAAATAATGAATGACATAAATGATTTCTGTATTTAAATAAAAACTTTCTATAAATATAACTTTTATTACTGTTGTCATAAATCTACATAATGTATGTTATAAACGTGACTTTACGACATATTTTTTTAAATACTCGTATAATCGGCACTTTATTATTGTCAAGCGCAAATAAAGTAAATCTAATAAACTCCTGTGGTAGTTGACAAATAAAAATGTAAGTGAAACAGAAAAGGTTTATATTCAATGATGCGTACTAGTAGTTAGTGGTATTTTTGTATATCAATTTATTGATTAGATTCAACGATTTTGTGTTAAAGGTTATTATTGTTATTAAATACATATGTAGGTACTTGTAAAACTAGATTTACAAAATAAAGTGAGACAATGCCTTTATGACGAGATGCTAGAGGTACGCAAACTAGATTCGTAAATTGCATGGAAGATAAGTGGTGCGTTAAAAGTGTATAGGCACAGGTTTTTTGGAGTAAAAAGATAAATCTATCAAATATAAACCCACATTAAAACTGGCTAAAGAGAAACGTAGGTATATTTAACAATGTTGCAATTAATTTATATCATTTTAAAGAAGAAATGTTTTCGCTTAGTATCAAAGATTTTGAAAATTGTTTGTCAACTCTTGGCAAAAAGAGCTGTGGTGTTACTTTTCATTATATTATAGGAAGCATATAGGTAACACTTGAGTAGAAGAGAATATAGAATTAAGAATTATTGCAAGTCCGACAATGCTAGGAAATTTACTTTATGCATCATGGGCTGTAGATACCGTTGATATGAAACAACTGATTGAGTTGAAATACATTAATTTATTTTCTCGCAAGTCGATAAAGGTAAATTTTGGTATAAATATATCAGTGACAGCAATTTAGTTTCTTTAAACAGTGTCCACAACTACAGAACTGTACCGGTGCTACTTCTTATTCAAGTCTATGTTCTCTGTCTTTGTATTAATTAATATTACTGCACTACATTGAGGAATCTAAAAAATATATCTACTAATTTATTTAAATATTCAAACTACAGTGGCATTAGTTCTTGTCGTAAAATCTGTATCTCAATCTGTGCTTCGACGGATAGCTATGAATATGAAGATATTCAGGAAGTAGCTATTAAAATACATGTAAAAGTGTTTACTGGAACTAACACTATAAATTTTCTTCTAACCCACGTTTTAATCAAAGATCGGTTGAAATTTATTGACTAGAATTTTACTTTTTGTTTTAGAATGTTTGAACGGTAAATACAAAAAGATTAATTTGTATCTCTGTCAATTTAAATTGGTGTTACACTAAATAGATTTTTCCTTATTACTTAGCAACTACGTTAAGTATCATGTACGTATGATGTGACGGTATTCAAAAATTGCAATCTAAATGTCATGTATACCTCCATTATACCTATACATATGCTTATTATAATCGTTTGATAATGTGCAAACGTGTTTACCGCATGCATGTCTATTGGTAAGTAGTTTATAATTTTTCAAACATTAGCTATTCACAAAGGCAAACAACAATAGCTTAAGATTGCTGGCGCATACATGCATTTAGATTCTTTTGCTAAATTAAACATTATTGTTCCTTCCATTGTGGTAGATTACTGGAAATATAGTTATTATTGAAGTTTATATTCCAGGAAAGTAGCGACCGGATTGTAATTAGATTTTGTAATACGTTCGGGAATAAGGTCGTTTCATTGTTCAAGCAGTTTCCACCATTGTATATACCTATTAACGTATAGGTGTGTATTGTGTTTTAGTTGATTTTTCTGTGAGGTAGAATTATCTTGTCCGGTCCATTAACCACACGAGAATCTCAGACAAGTTCTCCAATTACTCGTACACCATACGACAGCATTTATGTCACTTTATTTAAGTTATGACGGTTTGTTTAATCAGAAAAAAAAACCATTCGTTACATGAAACGCGCCATATGTGTGACTAATTAAAAAGATATAGAAGCCAATATAGTATTCTGCTGGTAATACAGAGCGAGCCTTTTATCTAGATCAGAAATCAAGTTGGCCCTGAAAGAAGCTGCATATCTTCGGTTGGAGATGGACACGTTGCGTCACCTCGATAGTACACCACGTACGCTTACGTAATCGCAACGTAATGCAGAAAGGCATAAACCCATCTTTAGAAAAAAATTTAATAACTCCGCCGGCCAGCGCACACAAGAACATGGACTCCGCATTCCTCGGCGTATTAACCGGAGCAATCCGTAATATACGCAGTGGACATGCTGTGACTTAAGTAGAAATGACTAAATCCACCTATGAATAAATCCATAAATTTTTACATTAATCCCTTGAGAATCCAGTCGCGTATACAGCCAATGCCGTAAGTTATGCGACGGCCCCGTAGGGCTAAATTCGCGAATTATGCGTACGTTGCTAATTAATGGTTTTCAGAACCAGCTGTCTTCGGCGACCAATAAAAGTGTTGGACGAATATCGTGGCGCGACTATTTCTGGAACAATTTCGGGATTGTTTGTGATCCTCCCACAAGAGATGTTTACAAAAATGAGTAGTTTTATTAACTTTATGAATATGCGGCGTTGAAAGATCGTTCATTATGTCTGTGGTATGTACCTCAAGGCTCCATTTTAGGACTTCTAAATTTTTGTTTAAAATGGAATGTTTAGTGGACTGCAAAACACGTACATATCTAAAAACATGACTTGCTGCTGTATTAAATTACATCGTCCATTTAGAATAACTTGATGCTACCAACCAGATTAGTCTACATTTACATACTGTTATTTTTATAGCAGCAGCGTTACTTTGTAGGAAATATGCAAGTAAGTTGTAAGGTTTTGTACAATTTTTTCTTTTGTACTGCTCTGTGGAACACTGTTTTTTTTTTATTCTTGGAAGGATAAAATCTATTTGTAATCCTGGTGGTAACACTTTAGTTATTTCATGAAGAGTACGGTAGAATTTAAACTCTTAAAAGTGTAAAACAACTTCCATCTAATACTATAAAGAATAAAAGCTTTATTAAATAACTTTTTTACATTACATGTTCATGAAAGTGATTTTCATTGTCATTATATGTTATATCATCTGATTTTTGCCGTGCATTTTAACATGATACACAGTGTAGAAACTGCTTATGGAATAAGTTCAATAAATTCAAAACTGACGGTATTTATCAAAACCCTGAAAAGTCAATTTGTATTTCTATTTACTCTCATTTTAAGTTGTTATGCCTATTTGTGACGTCGTCCGTTTTCCAGCTATTACGTCATATGCGTTTTGTTTAAATAGAATGCTATATTTTTCATGTTATTTGTGGATAAAGTAAGTTGTACTTTCAAAGACCTCTTCAAGGAATCTAAACTGGTCACCTCTATTTTCAAGATATTTCAGATTATTACAATACAATTTGGACCAATTTTCAGTTTTGTTATTATTTAAGAAATTTCACACATTTGTGTGATGTTTATGTACTTACAATATTCCTTAGTTAGATAAAATGTGTATTCATATAGCATTTCATAAAAAATGGGCGTGACGACATAACTTAAAAGTAGATGACCTCATGAACAAGTGAAGATACTTAAAAACAGCGTTAACTGCAGAAAAATTCCTTCTTTTACAAAATTTATATTTTTAAGCAAGCTTTTAATGTCCTCTCTA